ACGCGAGCACACACCGGCGCACACACCCTCACTCACTCACACTCTCTCTCACTTAGGTCATGCCGGCCATCATGTTGAAATCTCCTCTTGTTACCTTTTAAACTATACTTTATTGCATCTTTTTTAAAACTTTACTCTAGGGATTGCGACATACATCCTTAACTTTCCACAACATCCTTGGAGTTAATATACAATTTGATGTAAAATATAGAAATTTTGCAAACTGCATAGATCTATTTTCTGTGTACCTGCTCATGTTTTTTTATGGTTCTTTACACTATTGATGTCATTTGTATTACGTTTCTATTCATTTTAAACCCCACAAGATATTTTTTTTCCTTCAAGCAATCGTGTATTTGGGGGGGGGGGGGGAATTGTCTTTTATAGTTAGCCACCCGGACACAATTTCTGGTACTCTTCATTCCTTCCTGAACTTCTAAGTTTCCTTCTGATACTATTTCCCTTCAGCCTGAAAAAGAACTTTCTTTAGCATTTTTTATAGCACACATCTGCTCTCACTTCTTAATTTTAATCATATGATGGATGGGTGAGACATAGAGCTGGGTTATATGTGCTTGTTAACTTGGTGAAATAAGATGCTGTTGCCTTCAGCATTTCATACCAGTATTCTTGCTTTACTCTCATAGGACTTTGTCTTAGGATAAAATGTAAGAGGTGTGGGTGGTCATTAAAAACCGTCATTATACCAAATATCTCCCTGTACAACAGGAGCCAACATATCCCATTTTAACACCTCACTAGGCCCTAAACAGAAATATTGTACAAGACAGAGGAAGAAATCAACCACAGATGTGGGGCCTCGATTAAAAGAGCTTACTGCTGATGGCAGTGTTTTAAATGGTTATTTGGTGGCACCCAAGAGGTTATTATACTTCAGACAATACAGCTTTAGGAAGAGTAAAGAGATCTTGTAAAGTGAGTTAAAATATACTTAGTTCAGGGAGAGCTTGAAGAGGAGAGAGCCCTCAAGATACCTCCATTATCTCCCTTGCCCTTTTTACCTTGTCCTTTTTACCCCTCTAGCCAGAAGTCCAGCCTGCCTACTCTGTTCCTCACAGATATATCTGTGCAAGTTAAATCACAGGCCATTTTCCATAAAAGGTTGACCAGTGGTCTACCAGTTTGATTTGCACAAAGTACACTGGGGCTAGAAAAAAAGACCCTGGCCAGCAGATAGCTCAGTTGGTTAGAGTGTGGTCCCAGTACGTCAAGGTAGTGGGTTTGACGGGTCAGGGTACATACAAGAAACACCCAATGAATGCATACATAAGTGGAACAACAAATTAATGTTTCTCTCTCTCTAAAAAATCAATCAATAAAAATTTTGTTTAAAAAAAAAATGAAGTGGCTTTTTGGTTCCGTAATCAGCTCCTTGACCAAGAATGCCTCGATCTTTGGTGTGGATAGATGAAGGACCACTGTGCAGATTATCTTCTGACTACATTCAACCAAATGCCAGAATCTAAGGCAGAGGGAGGTTTTTATAAAGTACAAAGCAAATGAAAGCAGCCTCACTGCTTTCTGTAGACAGGAGGCAATTCTACATTGTGACTGTAGTGCAGCAAGAAGTTATAACAAAGGAAAATGAGGGGTGACGAGACAGATGCACCTTACAGTATTTTGGGGGTAAAACCATTCATTTGGTTGCAGCATTGGTTAGGTGATGTCAGCTTCTAATACATCTGAAGACATCATTCAGAGTCACATATATTGGCAACATAAAAGCCAGGAAGCCATGTAAAAATAGAAAGAATGATAAAGTTGTGAGACCTCGGGATTCATCCATTTGAGCAAATCAGAACTATATGAACAAGTGTCAGTTCCACAATCTAGCTCTTGAGTGGAAGAGCTGGGTAGCTCATAAATTCCTTTCTTTTTGATGTGCTTTGACCCTTAATCTATTTTTACCCTCTGGCCACTGGCTTTGGTAAGACCCATTACAATGATATGGTGTTTTAGCACTTCCAGTTAAGTGTTCAGAGCCAATGATTTACTTAGTCCTAAATAATAATATCTTCATGTAGAATTGTTTATTCAGAAACCAGTGATGCTCACCAGTCCATGGGTGAAGCAATCCTATATAATAAAAGCATAGTATGCAAATTATCCCCTTGACTGGGAGTTCATCCGGGAGTTTGACCAGGGGGTGGGGCTGGCTGGGGGAAGGGAGGGAGGCCCCAGTGGTGGCAGGTGGCCGGGGGAAAGGAGGGTACCTGGCTGGCAGCTGCTAGGGACCCTACCACTGCATGAATTTTGTGCACTGGGCCTCTAGTATTTGAATTAATGGTCTATGTAGTATCCACAGATAAAGATAAAATGATAGATTTTTTAAAATGTAGTGAATCAGTATTTGCCCACTGAGACATTTAACTTCTTGATATTGTCGACACAAGAAATATCCAAACCATTTAAGTTTAGGAATCTCCTTATTCATGTTGCTGTATAAGCTCTATCGGAAGAATATGCCTGTCTTCCTACCGGTCAGCCTCTAGCACAGTGCCTCTGGAGCCTTCAACAGTGCATCTGTGGTTAACATTCCCTTCCTTTTGCTCCTGTGACAATGATGTTTTTTCCACTCATGACTAATTGGGTTTTCCCCCCCCAGTTTAATTCCATTTTCTTTATTTCATAAAAATTTGGTTTTAGATCACCAGGTTATTATAAAAGGATATAAGTCAGGAACAGCATATGGAGAAGGGCTCGGAGCTTCTGTGACCTCTCCAAGTGCTCCACTCTTTCTCAGTCTCCACTGTTCACCAACCCAAAGCTCCTCATCCCATTCTTTCTTGATCCAGCTCCAAACAGGCCTTTGTAACCAATAGCCTTCTCTTTGCTATCCCAGATGTCATTCTCAATATACTCCTCCTTGAGGTCTCACAGGCATTACAGGCAGAGCTGGCCTGCCCTCCCGTGAGAAGTGGTTCCTTCATTGGGCATTAAGACATCATCCTCTCGTATTTTCCACTATTTCATGGATCATTTCTTTATGTATTTTTCTTGTTTCTCCTCTTTCATTTAAATGCCAGTGCTTGGATTTTTTTCTCTCTAAACTCACTCCTTAGGTGATTGCAGACATTCTCATAACATTAAATGCATTTAGGGTGCTCCTTCAAAATTTAACTATCTGTCCTTGGCCTCTTCCCAGAACACTAAAGTTAAGTGCCCAACTGCCTTACCTGATCTCCACATGGATGTCTAATAAACATCTCAGACTTAATGTACTTAAATAGGTCTTGATTGTTTTTTCTTCCTCCAGCCTGCTCATCTCTATTTTCTTCATCTCAGTAAACGATACTACCATTCACCCAATTGCTTGTGCCAAAAACTTTGACATTTCCCTTTTTCAAGTTCAACTTCCAGCCCTGCTAACAAATGTTGTTTGGCCTTCAACATATTTGTAATGTCTAGCCGCTTCTCACCTCCTAACTGCTATCATTTCATATCAAGCTACCATCTCCTCTTGCCTGGAAATCTTAATTTCCCTGTTTCTATCATCGTCCCATCCTTTTCTTAGAGTCTTCTACACAGTAGCCAGGGTGCTCCTTTTAAAATGCAAGCCACACTAAGTCATTCCCATTTCTTAAAATCTTTAATTGGCTTCCCAACATACTTAGAATAGTTTCTAATATCCTTTCTCTTAGAACTTACCTGACCTAGTCCTTAGCTTCACTCTGAGCTTATTTCTTAGCTCTTCTTGTTCACTCTGTTCCAGTCATACTGGGCTTGCCCCTCCCTGTAATGTGCCAAATACATTCCTATCTCAGGTCTTTGCACTTGGCTTTGAGCATGTAATGCTTCTCCCTAGGTCTATGCAGGGCTCACTTTCACTTTATTCACATGCCTGCCCAGGAAGCTGTCCCTGAACACCCCAAAACAGCAACACCCTCCTCCCACTTTATCACACCCTATCCCATATCTCAACATTATTTTCCTTAATGCATGTGTTACTACTTATTATATATACTCTTTAACTTTTTTTTTCGAGGTAACTATAGATTCACATGCACTTACAAGAAATAATCTAAAGATATACAGTATACCTTTCCCTTACCACCCCCCCCCCCACCCCCGCCCCGAGAAGCACATCTACATAGCTGTGATGCAATGGCACAAACAAGAAATTGACACTGATACAATTCACTGATTTTTTCCCCCCAGATTTCACCAGTTTTACATGCATTCCTTTGTATGTATATTCAGTTACATGTAATTTTATCATGTGTAGACTCATGACCATACTACAGTCAGTATATAGAACAGATTAATCACAGGGATTCCTCATGTTACACTTTATAGGCATGGCTACCTGCTTCCTTCCACCCCTCTGTTACTATATTTTATTTTTGTCCGTTTGACCTTTGAAGGTATGGGGGCATTGTATGTTTTGTTCTTCACTGCCTCTAGAGTGTCTGTCCTATCAGAAATGCATAATACATATTTGTTAAATGTTGATCATTAGGCAGTGCTTTCTTGTGAGAAAGAATTTGCAGTGGGAAGCTTTGCTTTGTTTGAGGGCACATATAGTATGTTAGTTGTTTTTACTTTATAATCTTTCTCCTCAGCATTCTGTCCTCTCCCTTCTACCAGACTTACATGCTGAAATGCCTCTGGCTCCAACAGTAAAATTGTCTATTATTCATGGTTTAGCTCAGGTTAGTTTTATGGTACAGGACATAGGTGTCACGAGTAGAGGCACTAACAGTTAATAGCTGGTTCGTGAATACCTGCTTAGATTTCCATGGGAGCCAAAACTCCTTATTACCTTTACCCTCAATAGTTAGATTGGAATTAAAAGCTGTGACTAGTGCCACTTCTCTGTCTTCTTTTTCTGTTTTCAAATGATATCCCAGATATTAATCCCTAAGCAGGATCTATTGGAGTTAAATTTTTTTCATAGCATGCAAAATGCATATTTTTGGTGTAGAACAAAAAGGATCCAGGTATCTTCCACCTCTCATGCTTACCTGTTTACTTTGAAGGAATCAAGGTTGCTGACCGAATAGAGGACAAAGGATCAGGTGATGCTGTTTCACTTGACAAATTAACAGGCACAGCTCCCGAAGTGGGGCCACTGGTTACTCCACTGTGCAAGAGGGACATCCCGCCCTCCGAGACCTCTGCACTCCGTTCTGTGCTGAAGAAACCTTCTGTGAAGCTGTGTGTAGAAAGCCTGCAGGTGAGTGTAGAGCTGCATTTCCTAAAGCAAATGGAATGAAAAGTCATTTAGGTCAAAGCAATACCTCTGAAATGCTAACTGTTATACTGGTTGAAAGGGAAAGGTCTTGCCCTGTTTACCCCCCTCCTTTTAATCACTTATAGCACTGGGCAGTTTATTTGTTTTTGTTCTTAAAAGGACTCATATGGAATATAGCATATAGAATTTAATATGGGTAGACTGTATTTTATAAGAGTTTCATAGTTAATGTGGGAGTTTATTATTTCCATCCAAACTATTTGGTCTTAGAGATACCTCTTTTACAGGCATGCACCTTTCTCAGCCCAGTATGCGTGAGAAAAGAATAGGTTGAAGGGAACTAGCTGGCATTTATTGAGTACTTTCTAGACTTCTGGCATGTACATGTAACCTCAGTCCTCAGCCCCATTTTACATAACCTGAGGCTTGAGGTTAAATGAACCCAGACGAACGTGATGTTGGCATCCATGATGGACTGTCCGTGCTGTGAGAGGATGAGAGGATTGGTCTGGAGCAGCCGTGGGCAAACTACGGCCCGCGGGCCGGATCCAGCCAAAAAAAAAAAGACCGTACCCTTTTATGTAATGATATTTACTTTGAATTTATATTAGTTCACACAAACACTCCATCCATGCTTTTGTTCCGGCCCTCCGGTCCAGTTTAAGAACCCATTGTGGCCCTCGAGTCAAAAAGTTTGCCCACCCCTGGTCTGGAGTCAAAGTGTCTCATGTCAAATCCAGACTCGGGGGTTTCAGAGCTGGGTAAATTACTTAGCCTTTTTGTACTCAGGTGTTTTATCTATAAAAAGGATAATATTAGAAACTACCTTACAGGGTAAACTGAGCATTAAGTGGGATAATAATGTAAAATTAGCACCAATGCCTGGCAAATGAGAGGTACAGTTTTGTGTTGTTTTTCCAACCTGTAGGCATTTTAACATACAGTTATGTCTACAAACTGTTTCTACAGCTAAAATGAACTAGATTACCTTCTATCTACATGGATAGATGTTCAATGATCATTTAAAATGTTTTAACAATTTTCCTGGTTAAGAGCTGATTTAGGTCTCTGTAATAGCACTGCTCATTCATATTTTGTTTTATCTTCAAAGAGACTTACTATCTTAATTATTTGTATAACTTTTATTGGTTAACAGTGTTACATAGCAAACATCAAGCTGCCCAAAATTGGGAGGTTTCTACAGTTGAAGTTTTTTGCTAACTTTTATGGTTTTAATTAAAAGTAAGTCTAAAAGTTAACATGAACTTTGTTTTATGAGTTCCCTTAATTCACAAATATTGATCTGGGCATTTTCCTGGTTGGAAAATGAAATGACTTAGGAGACATGGTCAAGGAGGCTTGTTTGGGGCAGGATCGTTTTTTAGAGGTGGTGCTGCTGTTGGAACGGGTGTGCTGGAGAAAAAGACTAGTTGCAGAGAACAAGGGCTGGTCGGGTTTGGGTGAGACTGGACAAGCAGATGGTGATTTGGATGACGATTACCCAGCCCCCAGCTCTGGCTCTCCTGCTCTGCTCCAGGGCCCTCCCTGTGCTTAGACTTGTCCCGTCTTGTTCTTTAGCGTTCATACTGTCCCGTCCTCACCCACTTGCCTGCTCTATAATCTTCCTTTGGAAAAGCACATTGGGACAAATATGTCCTCTTTCTTTATTTCTAACTCAAGAAGATACTAATGCAGATAGGAGATTTATACACTTACAGAAGGTGTGGTTCCCATGTTTAAAAGACAGAATACCCTAGTATATCACTTACCATTCCTTCTTTTCCTGTTTTAGTGCAATTCTTATACCTCAGGCCATTAAGTCTGCCTCATCTGATACACTGTCAAATCTGGTCACTCACAGTTTGCTTAACTTCGCTTGCCAGATCAAAAATGAAGGAATGAATTTAGCCCAAGTTACAGATTTCCATTCTTTGATTTTGGCCTAAAATACTATTTACTAAAGTTATATCTAGGCAACCTATTTTTTCTTTGTGGCTAATATTATGATAGTTTAGCCAAAACAATTATGAAAGTAAAGGTGGTCTGCAATACTATAGTTTCTACTCCTGGCAGCAAAAAATTCAGTTGCTATTTTGAATGACTGTGTGTATGTAAAACTCACTGATGTTCATTTTGTTTAGGAACACTGTGACAACCTCTGTGATAATGGGACTCATCCAAACTTAATCTCAACTCTTGCAAACTGTTGCAAAGAACAAAAAGCAGGTAAGAAATTTATGTTTATTTTGAAGCCCAAGGATATCATTGTCTTGTTATAAAAAATCTGATAGAAGGTATGGTATTATGAAGGACCTGCTAATGCGCCTTGATGCTTCTGAAATGATATGGAACTGAAGGACAGTTGGGAGAGATGGAATCTCTTTGGAGGGTCTAAAATTGATCCATCCATTTCATCGATCCATTTTTGCTTGATGGTGAAACTTGATATTCCAATTTTGTAAAGTTCTAAGATATTCATGCAAAATTTACTTTAAAATCTATTTCTGTAATTTAATTAGAAATACTGCTTATCTTTTTCATTTTGAAATTTTTCTCTACAAATTGTTATACAAAGAATAACAGAATCTAAGATTATAGGATACACCTTTTAGATAAGAAAATAAGCTTACTTTTTTAATACATTTCTATTTATTATTTATAGAAGGTCAAGAAAACTATAAGGTACCAGCCTCTATAAATATGAGGAAGAGGAAGAGAGTTACTTTTGGAGAGGACCTAAGCCCTGAAGTATTTGACGAATCTTTGCCAGCAAATACTCCATTGCGTAAAGGCGAAACACCTGTTCGTAAAAAGGATTTAAGTACTGTCAGTCCCTTGCCACTTGAGCAATCATCAGTTCCCTCGCAGTTGCCTCAACCAAATTTTGATGACAAGGGGGAAAATCTTGTAAGTGTGAAAAATGTGGAACAAAGTTGTTTATATTTTCATCAGGCCTCACCTATTTTGCATGAGCAGTAATTATGCTTTGAAATCATGAAATGGACTAAATGATGTGTCATAGTATAAATTAATATATTTTTCTAGGTAGGTTATTACCAGATTTCTCCTATTAAAGGCAGTACTTCTGTGACTCGTTGTACATTGCATATTTAATAGAACCTAAGTGCTATGGATTGTATGATATTTTATGTGTCATTAAGAAAAAATGCTGAAAGTTAAACTGTGACACACCATCATCTGTATGATGTGCAGTGGTCCCCTACCCCCAAACTGTGGTTTCAGTTACCCATGGGCAACTACAGTCTGAAATGTTAAATGGAAAATTCCAGATTTCAACAATTCATAAGTTTAAATTGCATGCCATTCTGAGTACCTCATTTCATCTCATCACATAGGCATTGCATCATCTCTCATCATTACGGGAAGAGAGAGGGGTGAGTACAGTACAGTAAGATATTTTGAGAGAGACCACATTTATATAACTTTTATTGCAGTGTATTATAGCTGTCATATTATTAGTTATTATTGTTAATCTCTCACTATGCCTAATTTATAAATTAAACTTTAACATAGTATATATAGTGTTCAGTATTACCCTGTGGTTTCAGGCATCCAGTGGGGGTCTTTGAACCTATCCCTCTGTGGACAAGGGGGACTATTATACTCAGATTTCAGAGGTGTTAAAATGTGAAAGAGCAACAGACTTAGAATTGGTATATTGTAAAGATAAACTATTCTTCTCCTAAGGTGAATATTTACAGGTGGAATTACTGGACTAAAGAAAATGAATGTTTGCACACCTGGCGTGGCTCAGTGGTTGAGCGTCAACCTATGAACCAGGAGTTCATGGTTTGATTCCCAATCAGGGCACATGACCGGGTTGCAGGCTTGATCCCCAGTGTGGGAGGTGCAGGAGGCAGCCAATCGATGATTATCTCTCATTGATGTTTCTATCTCTCCCTCTCCCTTTCTCTCTGAAACCAATAGAAATATATTTTTTAAAACATGAATGTTTATGAACTTTTTGATGAATATTGATAAATTTCCATCAGAAAGTATGTACAAATTTGTATTCATTGCAAGATAAATACATACCTTTGTAAGTCCTGAATATTAATTATACTTATTTAAAACAGCTTAATAGGAGAAAAAGTTGACTTGAAATTTTTAGTTTATTAGTGAGATTGTAACATTTTTCACATGTGTATAGGCCCTTTGAATTTTTTTCTCTGAGAACTGCCTATCAATCTTCCTTACTTATGTTTTTATTTTTTAAAATTTATTTTAACTTTATTGATTTTTTTTTTTTTTTAGAGGAAGGAAGGGACAGAGACAGAGAGAAACATTGATGTAAGAGATACGTTGATCCATTGCTTTCTTTTCACGCCTGACCAGGGATCCAACCTGCAGTCTTCTGGTGCATGGTGTGATGCTCCAACCAACTGAGCCACACCAGCCAGGGCTCCTTACCTATTTTTATATTGGGACTATCATTCATTCTTTCTCCTGCTATTAATACCTTGATATATTTTGCTTTCACCTAGGAGTAGAGGGACCTAATTTAACTTCCATGAGAAACAACTAAAAAACTGGAGACAATACACAGAACAGTGGTTCTCAGAAATTTAACATCAGGCAGCACAGGATGGTGATCTCTGAGAGGGGAGTAACAAAGGAGATGAGCTTATGAGAAGCCTAACTCCTGCCTGGACTGAATTTCTAAGCAGCATCATAGGGTGGATTTGCCTCACTGGGACCTGGCTGTCTCATGACTTGAGAAGATGGAGTTGGGGCCTGGGAAAGTGAAGGAAGCTGGAGTTCACAGGGCAAAGTAGCAGAGCCGAGAGAGCGGCATAGAGAGCTCTGGAGATCTGCAAAGGATCCCATTTGAGTCTTCTGCTCAGTGGTGGTCAACACATGCTGTGAGAAAACTGCTAGAGGCCAGGAAAGAACTACCCAAATGGCTGGAGCTCACAGACACAGAAACAGGAACAGTGTTCCCACCAACCTGGGTAGAAACGTCTTGTAATTCAAGAGGGCAATGGCCACTCCAGAGAGTGGCACGTTATTAGTGGAGCAGAGTTAGACTAAAAATCCGACAACACTTAAAAGCAAGCCATGAAAAGATCCAACATGTATCCAAGTACTTAACTGCATTGAATAACAAAGCTCAAGAATAACATGCAAAAAAATGGAACTAGACCACCAACTTAGATCCATACACAAAAATAAACTCAAAATGGATAAGACGGGAAACCCTAAAAATCTTAGAAGAATCCATAGGCAGCAAAATATCAGACATATGTTGTAGCAATAGCTTTATGGATATATCTCCTAGGACAATACAAACTGAGGAGAAAATAAATGGGACTACATCAAAATAAAAAGCTGCACAGCAAAAGAAACCATCAATAAAACAACAAGAAAGCCCACTGCATGGGAGAACATATTTGCCAATGTTATATCCGATAAGGTTCTAATCTCCAAAATTTTAGGGAACTCATACGTCTTAACAGAAGATAAACAATCGAATCGAAAACTGGGCAAAGGACTTACATAGACACTTTTTGAAAGAGTACATACAGAACGCCAAGAGATGAAAACATGCTCAAAGTCACTAATCATCTGAGAGATGCAAATCAAAATGACAATGAGAAACCATCTCACACCTGTCAGAATGGTTATCATCAACAAAGGACAAGTGCTGAAGAGGATGTGGAGGAAAAGGAACCGTCGTGCACTGTTGGTGGGAATGCAGACTGGTGTGGCCACTGTGGAGAACAGTATGGAATTTCCTCAAAAAATTAAAAATGGAACTCCCATTTGACCCAGTGATCCCACTTCTAGGACTATATCCCAAGAAATCAGAAACACCAATCAAAAGGGACATATGCACCCCTATGTTCATAGCAGCACAATTTACAATAGCTAAGATTTTTCTGTTCCTACTGATCTCTCTTCTCCTTTGGGGTGTCTCATTGCACACATATTATGCCACCTGAAGTTTTCCCAGCTCACAGATTGCCTGCTCCTTGTTCAGTCTTTTTTTTCTGTTTCATTGTGAGTAATTTCTATGGCTATGTCTTCAATTTCACTAATCTTTTAAACAGCCCAAGTACCCATCAGTAGATGAGTGGATTAGAAAACTGGTATATCTACACAATGGAGTACTACGCTGCTGTAGAAAAGAAGTAACTCTTACCATTCGCAACAGCATGGATGGACATAGTGAGCATTATGTTAAGCAAAATAAATCAGTCAGAGAAATATCACATAATCTCACTCATCTGTGGAATATAATGAACAACATAAACTGATGAACAGAAATAGATCCAGAGACAGAGAAGCATTGAACAGACCATCAAACTTCAGAGGGAAGGCAAGGGAGAGGTGAGGGGAGTAAGAGATCAACCAAAGGACTTGTATGCATGCATATAAGCATAACCAATGGACACTGACACTAGGTGGGTGAGGGCATGTGCTTGAGGTGGGGGTGGCCGGGGAGAGGTCAATGAGGGAAAAAGGAGACATCTGTAATACTATATGTAATACTTTAAACAATAAAGAATTTTAACAAATTTTAAAAAAACGTAACAATGCTATGCAGTATTAAATGACATTAAATTCAAAGTGTCTGACATTCATTTACAAATTGATAGATATGTAGGAAAAGATGCTCCATAATGAGGAGAAAACATTAGTGAAATTGAAGATATAGCCATAGAAATTATTCACAATGAAACAGAAAAAGAAGACTGAACAAGGAGCAGGCAATCTGCGAGCTGGGAAACCTTTAGGTGGCATAATATGTGTGCAATTAGACACCCCAAAGGAGAGATCAGCAGGAACAGAAAAATATATTTGAAAGATAATGGCTGGAAAATTTCCCAATGTGATAAAATGATAAACCTATAAAGTTCAACGAATTTTCAGCATGTGAAATATAAAGTAAAGTACACCATGGCTTAAGATCAAGGATAAATGGCCTAAAAATAGTCTGGGAAAACAGACACATGACATAAAGAAGAACAAATGGAAGACAATGCGACGTGTGTACTCAGAAGAGGAAAAAAAATCCTGTCACCTAGAATCTATATCCAGTGAAACTTATCTTTCATCAATACAAAGGTGAATTACCTTTGGCTGGTTTCTCAGTGGTTAGAGCATCATCCTGTGCACCAAAGGGTTGTGGGTTCAATTCCCAGTCAGGCCACATAACCAGTTAGGGTATTCGATCCTTCATTAGGGTGCAAGCATGAGGCAACTGATCTTTCTCTTTCTCTCTTCCCTTTATCCCTCTCTCAAATCAATGAAAAACATCCTTGGGTGAGAATTTTAAAAAAGCAAAAAAAAGTAAAGGCTTTTTCAGACATGTGAAGGCTGTAATAATTTATTACTATAGCAGGTTAGCATTGTAAGAAATATTCAAGGAGGTCACTTAGTCAAAAGGAAACTGGTTCCAGATGGAAATCTGCACTTATCAAAGCAGTGAAGGGCACTGAGAATGCTAAATATGTAGGCAACTGACTGTTGCCTCTTCTTAATCTCTAAAAGGTAATCATTCAGATTAAGAGTAACAATAGTCTATTGTTTGCTTTATAACCTATGTAAATAAAATATACAATAAAAATAACATGGCATAAAGACTGGGAGGAGTTCTTAGGCTATGCACAGTGGTGTAAGTTAAAGATGCATACTATAAATCATAAACTACTTTTAAAGGACAGCACAAATGTGTGGAATGCTGCCAAAGCAGTGCTTAGAAGAAATTTTTAAAAATTAAACCTGTATTTCAAAATAAGAGATGTCTCATTAATCTCAACTTCTTTTAAGAAATTAGAAAAAGAAAAATCGAAATGAGAAGAAAGGAAGTAATAAAGATAAATGCAGAAATTAGTGGAATAGAAAATACAAACAATAGAGAAAAATTATAGCAATCAAAATATATTGCTTTAAAAAAACAGTGTTAGTAAACTTCTAATCAGACTCTTCAGGGAAAAGAGAGACTACTCAAGTTACCAGTGTAAGGAATGTGAGAGGTATTATAACTATATATGCTAACATACTAAAAGGATAATAACAGATATTCCGGACAACTTTATGCCAATAAATTCAACAACTTAGATAAACTAGACACATTTCTTGAAAAACACTATATCAACTAAAGACATTTAAGTTGTAGTTAAACCTTACAGAGAAAACTGTATGTCCAGATGATTTTACTAATGAATTTTATCAAACATATATGAAAATATAGTACTAATTCTACATATACTCTTCCAAACACCTTCAGGAGGTGGAAATACTTCCCAATTCATTAATGTCAGCATTATGAGATACCATAATCAGACATTATAAGAAAAATATAGTCTGATATCTTCATAAACGTAAGAATATATAAAAAGAATACATGATTAAATGAGATGTAACCTACGATAGAAGATGGTTTAATATTTTAAAAACAGTGTAATTCACCATTTTAACACAGTAAGACTGAAAAGTCTTATGTTCATCTCAGTAGAAAAACCATTTGACAATATCCAGGGTTCATTTCTGATAAGACCTCTGAGCAAATTAGTGAAAATAAATTTTTTTCAACCTGACAAATTTTATCTGAAAAATCAAATTTACTATTAAAATGGCAGTTACATTGGAAAGAAAAGATTTGACTATTACATTGCCATTTTACCTGAAGTTCCCCTGAGTAATACTGTAATGTTAGGTTGTGTTTATTGATCAATTATATATTTTAAAGGAATTAGGACATAGGATTTTAAATAAACCAAAAAGTAACTTATTAGTGGACCATTATGATCACTTCCACTTAAAGGGTTTTTGTTTTGTTTTTTGGTGGATTGTAGTTAGTAAACATGGTTTCATTCAAGATAATTGGTAAATATTATAAAATATATTTTATTTTTATATGCAGTATCTTTTGTTTTGCCTTGACTTTTTTTTCAACCTTTTATTGATTTCCCATCTTTATGCAGACTATAATTTCACCTACAAAAATAAATTCATTATTTGGGGGGCCTATTGCTTACATGTCCACTGAATTTAAGGATGTCTAATTTCTACTTTTTTTTCTTTGTTTAGGAAAACATAGAACCTCTTCAGGTATCATTTGCTGTTTCGAGCCCTCTTAGTAAGTCTTCAATCTCTGAGACTCTCTCAGGTAGTAACATTTGTTTATCTTATATTCATAAATGTTATTTGCAATGTCTGTGTATATGAAATTTAATTTCCTTATTTTCTTTTTAAAATTTCATTTTTATTAGAACAATGCATACTTGGCATAAAAAAACAAATAGTGTAGAAAAGCTTATAAGAAGCCTCTTACCCATCCATTTTGATTTCAAGTCCCACTTCATAATCATCCACATTTAACTTCCTTTGGGAATCTTGCATGATACCACTACACCAGCGGCGCTGTTCATTTAACTTCCTTTGATGGGAGCTAAATATCCAAAATTGTTCATCAATATTAACATGGCATGTTGGGCACATGTACTTTCCAAGGTCTCTGGCTTTTTTATGATTGTGACGTGTTGGGCACATGTACTTTCCAAGGTCTCTGGCTTTTTTATGATTGTGACAAGGTGATAAGGCAACAAATATTGCTGCACTTTCCTGACAGACCGGAACTTGGCTGGCAAGCATGTCATGGGAAAAAACACCTAGGATGGGAATCATTATTCATCCTTTAATGGCTTTTCGTTTGCTATGGGACACGAACAGAGCTCATTAGCACAGAATCTAACACGTGCATTGTCAAAGTAGCTAAAATTTGAAGCATTAGTCTATCAGGTTCAAAAGCATATGCTCTTCATACTGCCTTTCATTTATATCATGAAAAGTAATCAAAATTTTCCTGAACTTTGTAAAATAAGATATTTTTATTATCATCTTAATGCCCTTTATTACAATTTCATTGTACAAAATGTAGCTTGGAATAAATGGAATGAGTGAAAACATGAATATTTATAATATGATTTAATCTGTTATCTGAACAAGATAGCACGCATTTTCCATGGAAAGTGTTAAAAGTTTCTGAGTATTCAGTAAACTTAAAGTTTTAATATTTTTGAGTCTCAAAATGTATTCCTAATGATAATTATGTTTAGATATGATAATATAGTAAAAGCAAAGGTGGGTATTCAAAAGCATATGCAGTATCTGAGAAATGGTGGATCTTAAACTGTTTTGTTAACTACCCTAATTTTGCTTGTGTTTTGTTCTTCAGGCACGGATACATCTGCAAATAACCACGAGAAAATACCTTCCTGTAAAGACGGTAGGAGAACACGGACCTCTAACAGAAGAAGCGTAAGTGTTTGTATTTGGTACAATATATTTTTTTATTTTTTTATTTTGCATTAGATTTTTTCTTTTTTCGTGAGTGATGATGGGTAAAATCTTGGCTTGAATGGTATTATTAAGAGCTAATACATTATCCTACCTAGCATGTCACCCAGGTAATGATATTTCCTGTTTTGGTTTTAATTAATTCTATTAGAAGAAAAATCCAGTAAAACAAGAAGCTTTCAGTTTGTGTTAATGTGGAAGATAATCTTTTTGAAAAGCTTTTTTGAAATCTACGTTGTTTTATGGATTTTGTTGAGGTACAAAGTGGAGGAGAGTAGCATATAATAAGCAGAGCCAGAAAATGGCATAAATATGATCTTTTTTAAAAACTATACTTTGTTTTGTGTTGTTTTTTAACACAGGGTTTCAGTTATTTTCAGTATGAGCCTAATTTTCATTGAGTGCATATCTTTTGGTATTTTATTAAATTACATAAAATTGGATTTTTGTCCATAGCATCATAGTGCATAAGTATATGCACTATGTTATATGTTATAGGGTTTTTAGCTGATATTGTTAGATGATATATCCAGAATTCAAACTTAGATAATCTAATAGTTCATTGTTTTTTTTTTCATATAGCTCAACTGCAAGCAGTTAGGTGCTAACTTCTGGATGCTCAATAAATATTTGGTGAATGACTAAATTAACTAATACTTAAAGTTTTTTTTCTTCCTTATAATAATTGGGCAAAGTGCGTATGCTTCTGGGTCCATGTTTGATAGATCAGAAATTAGTAATTACTTTTTCCCTCAGGTGAGGTTAAGTTGGTTAAAATACATCTAATGGAATTTGTGAATTTAGAGGAAAATATAAGAATAGTAGAAGAGAATGGGAAAGAAAATAAATGTGAGAGAACATGCATTAAAATGTAACTTCTTCCATTGTATGGTATGCCTACTTTAAATTTTCTTTATAGCAATTGATCAGTTTTGCAGGAGATAGTGTTTGCAACTTACTTAATACAGAAGCTCAGCCTTGCCAAGAAAAGAAAAGCAAGAGGAGGAAATCTCAAGAAAGCAAGTGCACAGACAGAGTACGTCCTAAAAAGAAGCCGGTGAGTGTGTGTCCAAGATTTATTACAGAGTAGAAGTGGTGCATTTCTTTGTTGTGTGGTTGGGGAAATATGGAAACAAAATTTTTGGTTTTTTAGTTAACATCAGACCAAGAGTATTAAAATCATCTTATCGTAGAATAGTAAGGGTCATAAGAGATTATATATACTCAATTCTTTATTACCCGAGGGCCTCTTTGAACCTTCTTTTTTGTGTTGGGTAAATCCAGCACAGTAAGTCATTGGCACTCAAATGTTAAGTCAGTTCTTATCTCTGAATCTAATCTAACCTGATCCTATTTGGGGAGTCCTCTAACGTTCTGGACAGGGATGAGTGCATCCTCTGCACTGGTTTGACCTTGTTTCTGCCAGTGGCTGGATCGCTTCCCCACATTTAAGGAAGAGTTTAGAAACTAGCTCTGAGTCAGTGTGTCAAGGCCTATCCTGACTCAGATGCCTTCACCCTCTTCCAGTGGTCGGCAAACTCATTAGTCAACAGAGCCAAATATCAACAGTACAACGATGGAAATTTCTTTTGAGAGCCAAATTTTTTAAACTTAAAACTATATAGGTAGGTACATTGTTATTAACTTAATTAGAGTACTAAGGCTTAGGAAGAGCCACACTCAAGGGGCCAAAGAGCCGCATGTGGCTCGCGAGCCGCAGTTTGCCGACCACGGGATAACCGATCCTAGCACCTTAACCCAGTTACTTGTCCCACTCCCCTTCACTGATCTAGATCTTCCTCTGCCATACCCTCAAGCTTGTTAATACCCAAGCTCCTCTCACTTTTAATAATAGACATTTATATGTCTTACTCTCCAATCCCAGCCTTATATCCATTCTCGTTCAGACTCCCTTATTCATATCCCTCTGCTGGTACTAATAATCTTCTGGCCCCTCTGTTTACTCTTAACCTTTCAGCTGCCCCTTCATTTCCCATGTTACCTTATTTATTCTAAACCATGTGAGCTGTTTTCAACCACTCTTGTTAGTAACTTCAGCTCTGCATCCCTTTCATTCCACGTCCACTCTGGACTAATCTAGCCAGGATCCCCTCTCCCACCTAACATCGCTCCTGGAGAGACACACAGATGCTTCTGCAAATCCAGCCCCACATAGTATCTGACGTTTGGTCTCATTCTCCACCACTTCGCCACTTCACTGTATTTTTCCAGAGTATCCGTTGAGGTCTTGCTCTCACCATCTCAGCAACATTCAACATCATTGAGAACATTCTTACAGTCTATGTTAAAGGTTTATTTTCTTCCACCTATCCTTAGATGTTTCTGTTCCCCGGAGTTCTACTCTTTGCCCTTCCAAATTTTGTATTTTCTGGGTGATTTCATATGCAGCATGGATGGTTGATAACTCCCAAATCTTTCTGATCTATAAACATTAAGTTCAACTGCCTACTGGACATCTCTTCTTTTTTTTTTTTGGAACGCTTCACGAATTTGCATGTCATCCTTGCGCAGGGGCCATGCTAATCTTCTCTGTATCATTCCAATTGTAGTATATGTGCTGCCGACGCAAGCACTGGACATCTCTTCTTAAACCATCCTGCAAACACCTAAAAAAATCAACATTTCAAAACTAATAAATTCTTCAAATTTCACCTCAACACACACCTACCTAAAACAGTCAGTAAACTTTTATGCTTCATAAAACAAAAACTTCCTCCTTTCTTGGTTTAAACATGGCACAGTCACCCCCAAGTCAGCAAAACCAGAAGAAACTGAATGTTTTCCTGATTCAGTCCCTTTTTTAGGTCATGAACTCCTTTGAAAGATCCCTTTGCTGAAAAAAAATACACATACTTTTTTTTTTTTAATCCTCACCTGAGGATATTTTTCCATTGATTTTTAGAGAGAGAGGGAAAGACAAAGGAAAATATCAATGTGAGAGAAACACATCGATTGGTTGCCTCCTGCATGGGCCCAAGACATGGAGGAGCCTGTAACTGAGGTACATGCCCTTGACCAGAATCGAACCTAGGACCCTTGTGTTCCGCAGGCCTATGCTCTATCCACTGAGCCAAACTGGCTAGGGCAGTGGTCGGCAAACTCATTAGTCAACAGAGCCAAATATCAACAATACTACTTCAAAATAGACTCGCCCAGGCCGAAAACCGACTTCTGCGCAAGGGCCACGAAGTTTCAATTGCACTGTACGTGCGCGCCCGCACGTGGTATTTTGTGGAAGAGCCACACTCAAGGGGCCAAAGAGCCGCATGTGGCTCGCGAGCCGCAGTTTGCCAACCACTGGCTAGGGCAATACACAAAAGTTTAAAAATAGCATTCATCTTATTGCATTAGATATTAGTATTCCTCATACTCTTTAAAAAAACTGTTTCAAAGAAGGTATACCTATTTCTTTAATAAAATCAATAGCCAGAAAGTTCAGGAAGGGTTGAGCATTAAGTTTTGTTCCAAGGACCCCACTGCATCAAAAAATAATGTAATAGGAGGGATAGGTTCAGAACAACACTGAAAAGAGGAAGGAAATGAGGAGGGGTATTAAGCAACAGATGACAGCCTTCAGTGAATTTCTGGAGGACAAAGCAGATGGGAGCATGTTGACAGATAAAAGGTGGAAAGATTTACAGCCCAGAATGTGCTAGGAAGGAGCTAGAGAGGCGCTGGGAATCCCAAGAGACTGGGCCCAGTATTGGCAGGTACAATGGATGGTGAGAAGTGGTAGTGAAAAACAGATTAATTGAAGTCCTTTATGTGAAACAATTTGCACCAGTTGGCACCCCACCCCCATCTCCCACCCTGAAGCTCAGAACAGATGTTATCTAGGTTAAAGCCTTCATTCTGACATTTGGAAAAGCCTGTAGTTGACACTCCTCATTCTCCCTGTCCCACACAGAGTTCCTAGTGGAATTACCATGCAGGAAAGAGACTGAGCTGGAAAGCAGAGGAAACCCATACCAGTTTCCAGTCTTCTCCTATGCAAGAATCAGACAACTAAATAGAACCAAGAATATGAAAGACCAATATTAAAAAACTGAAAACTGACCCCAGAAAGAAATGCTATTCAGAGAATGGAAGGAAATATTATTTAAAAAGTAAATGTTCTAATATACTCACATTTAAGAAAGTATATACTCAAATTTAAGAAAGTATAAAACTATGAAGGGGGATGCTATGAAAAAGGAGCAGAGAAAAAGTATTTGCAAAAATATAAAATTTAGTAGTTGGAGTAGAGAATAAAATTAAGGAAAGTCTCCCAGAAGGTAGAGCAAAGGAGAGATAGACTAGTAATGAGATGGAAGACCAGTCTAGGAGACTTCATGGGAATCTCAGAACAAGAATGTAGCCTGGAAGAAATTGTCAAAATAAAAGAAGAGTATTTCTTTGAACTGAAGAAAGGAATGAAAAAAAAAGGTCAGCACTTCGACAAATCATTGTGAAATTGAACAATAAAAATAAGGAGAAAAGTGGACTTTTCCTACCAGGAAACAATAATCAGAGTGGTACCAAGTTTCACTGCACTCTGAATTCTGAGAAATAATTCAACAGGACATTTAAAGTTGGGAAATAAACTTAGTTTCAGCCCAATATTCTAAACCCAGCCAAATTAATTGTGAAAGAAAAAATACATTTGACATTTCAAGGACTTTGGAAGTTTTTCTTTGGGTATTTCTGGAGGTGCTACTTAGTAAAATGAAGTGAGCTTGAGACTTCAGGACTCAGTGGATCTAATAATACAGGAGAGCCATGGAAGGAAAATCTCTGGTTTAGCCTTTCAGCCAGCCCAGGAGAGCAGCCAGTCCAAATTTGTGCAAGAGAAAAAGGTGCTTTAGGAAGTAGGTCTCTGGAGGGAAAACAAAGGACCTGTGATTGAGAAAATGGAAAGTGTGCCATATGATAAAAAGAAAGGTAGTTTTATGTCATTTCAAATAAAAGTTTGTGTACAAAAGTTTTGGAGCAAATATGATTTCAATCAATAAGGAAGTGTGAGGAAAAGTATATTTGATAGTGCTTGAAATCATCTACAGGGGGCACCAGAGGAAAGGAATATGATCTCTGTCCTTGGCAGAACGGTGGAAAATGTTTATACAGTCGTAATAATGCAGATACAGTTTCTTTTCAACTAAGGGCAAAGTTTTAACAACTTGATTGTGTACAAGATGATCTAAGTGTAGGTAAGAGCAGAAGGTGGAAGTAGGTAGAAAGGATGGAGGTGAGGGTATTAACACTAATGGGGTGGTAGTTAATAGTGCAGGTTCTAGACTAGAGCCAGATAACCTGGGTTCTGAATCCTGCCGCTTCCTAGCACTGGCACTGTGGGCAAGATTCTTGATTCTTCTATTGGTTTTAAATGGAGGTATTGTACTTATTTTATAAGCTTACTAGTGGCCTGGTGCTCGAAATTCGTGCGGGGGCGGTGTCCCTCAGCCCATCTGCACCCTCTCCAATCTGGGACCTCTTGGGGGATCGGGTCTAAACCGGCAGTCAGACATCCCTCTGGCAATCCAGGACCGCTGGCTCCTAACCTCTCACTTGCCTGCCAGCCTGCTTGCCTCCTACTGCCCCCCCTGCTGGCCTGCTTGCCCCCAACTGCCCCCATGCTGGCCTGATTGCTCCCAACTGTCCCCCCTTGCCAGCCTGATCGCCCCCAACTGGCCCCCCCCTGCCGGCCTGCTCGCTCCAAACGGTCGTCCCGCCCCCCCCCGCTGGCCTGATCGCCCCCAACTGCCCCCCTGCCGGCCTGATCACCCCCAACTGTCCCCCCTTCCAGCCTGCTCACCCTCTACTGCCCCCCCCCTGCCAGCCTGCTCGTCCCCTACTGCCCGCCCTCTCCGCCGGCCTGCTTGCCCTCAACTCCCCGCC